GGTGGAGTGTAACCTCTCCTCCTGGCCTCGTGCGCGCCGATTCAGCTGCTTCAAGCCGGCCTGAGTCTCGCTCCCGTCCGCAGAGCATGTACATGCGAGACGGAGCTGCTACGCCTACCGGATCATCTCACTCTCGGTCTCTGTCCCGCCCCGCCTCGCGCCCTACTTCTCGTCATAGCAATCAGGAGCAACAAGACGAGATTGAAACTACACCCAAAGCGCCTGCTGCAGCAGCACCTCCGTCCGAAGCTAAGCCCGAAACCAAGCCCGACGTCAAGCTGGATACCAAGCTCGATAATAAGGAGGAGGACGACAAGGATGTGACACCGCCATCAAGCCCTTCGAAGACTATGGATTCTAGGAGATGGAGCCCGACGAAGGCAAGCTGGCTGGAAACCGCGCTGAATAAGCCAGAGTCACCGAAACCTAAGCCCCCGCCAGTATCGAACCAGCCAGCTTGGATGGTAGAGCTCAACAAAGCCAAGGCTCACAAGGCTGCCAACCCCAGTGCCGACCTTGGCCGAAGCGGCTCAGTCTCATCGCAAAAGCACGAAGTCAATGTTGGTGGGCTGATGCGTTCATCACCTATGGGAAGCCATGTGTCCAAGCCCTCTGTGAGTGGCCTCAAGGGTATATATGCACCACCGGTGCAAACTCACAAGACCGGCGGCAGCATCAGCAGCCCAAGCTTCCGTACCAGCACGATCAAAAGTCCGGCAAGCGAGGGCAAGCCGGAAGGAGATGCCCTGCCCGTGGACATTCCAAAGCGCTCCTCTGTCACCGATAGCCCTGCCGTGGCTAAAGTCAAGCCCGAAACTCCTCCCAAGAAGGACTTCCGCACTGGTCTGAAGTCCAGAAACGTCTCTGGCGATGCTGCCTCGTCCAAAGAGCCCGCCAACGAGTTGCAAAATGTTTTTGGCAACTTGCGACGGACCAAGACGCAGAATTACGTGGCGCCGGATGAGCTGAAGGGCAACATTTCGCGCGGCAAAGCGGCCTTGAATATCACCGGTGGGCCGAAGCCCAGCGAGCGCAAGGATGAGTTCAAGGACGCGATTTTGAAGAAGAAGCAAGATTTCCAGGCTGCTCAATCAGAAGGCAAAGGCGTGATTAGAACCAAGTCCAATGCATCTGAGAATCCGGTTCCAGAAGCTCTATTGAAGAGACATGCGTTGAGCAAGTCGATATCCGGCAGGTCAGACGCGACCTCTCCCTCTGCCATCGAGCATCGAAAGTCTGTAAGCGAGAGACCAAAGTCATCGTACAGGGATGATTCCAACGAGTCGGTCTCTTCGCTTAGGTCGCCATCAGTCAAATCGCCCTCTGCTAGGTCACCGTCGCTTAAATCGCCTTCTATCAAGTCACCGGTATCACCCGGGCCTGCGGCTGAGGCTCAGAAAGAGAGCATTGCTCCTGGCCGGCTTCAAGGACGTGCCGCTGCCGGGGGCCTAGCGAATCGGTTCAATCCTGCACTCGCAGGACTTTTGGCTCGCGGTCCCCCTCCCATGGCTGCCAATGGAGGGCGTGATGCCGAGAAGTCGGAAGGATCCAACGGGGCACCCGCCGAACCTTCGGCTCCAGGACCTCAGCTTACGCACATGACTAAGGGTCGTGCTCGTGGACCGAGAAGAAAGGCGCCGTCCTCCAAGGCTCCCTCCGCAGCTGCGCCCAGCGCAGAGATGGCAAGCGAATCCACGCCCATTCCGAGTGTCCTCTCACCGGCGAAGGAGGAGCCGCCTGTGGTAGAAGAAGCAGTAAAGAGCCCCGCAAAGGAGGCACCGATGCCCATTCAAGCTCAAGTAGCTGCTCAAGCAGCTGCCAAGAACAGGCCCGCGCCTCTCAAGCCTTTTGGAACCCCTACTGAGGCTCCAGCTGAGAAGTCTGCCGAAAAGTCTCCAGAGAAGCCCATTCTTCCCGCCAAGGAGGAAGATCCTGTTTCAAAGCGCAGGTCCCGATCTCCCACAATGAAGCTCCAGGCCTCCCCGATCAAGCCTGTTGAGGAGAAGTCCAGTGAACCCGTTTCCCAGCCCACCTCACCCAAGAAGCTGGATATGAAGCGGATGTCGAGATTCTTCGAGGAGAACAACCAAACGAGCCCAAAGCCCGAGAGTCCGAAAAGGGAAAGCCCTAAGATGGAAAGCCCCCCAAAGATGGGCAGCCCACCTAAGATGGTTTCCCCCACAAAAGAGAGCCCCAAGATTACCAGTCCTAAGGTTGTCAGTCCCAAGATTACCAGTCCCGAGGTTGCGAGCCCGAAGAGAGGAAGCCCGGCTTCGTCGCCAAGCATCAAGCCTAAGCCTATTTTTGAGAAGCCATTCAGCCCACCGCCCCAAAAGGCGGAAGAAGTCAGACCGAAGCCAGTCTTCGAGAAGCCTCCTAGCCCTGCGCTCCAGAAAACCGAGGAAGTCTCTCCTGTCAAGACTTTCGGACGGCCTCTCCCTGAGCCTAGACCGAGTTCTCCAGCAAATTTATTTTCGGACAAAGTTGAGGAAGCTCCTGCGCCCATTAAGACCTTTGGACGTCCGCTGCCCGAACCAACTCCAAGATCACCAACGCGGTCTCCCGTTCGGTCGCCGCCGCCAAATGAGCAGTTCGACAGCCCTCACGTGGCACCTCTCAGAACCTTTGGCCGTCCTCTGTCCAGGCCCAGTTCACCTCAAAAGTCAAACGACAGGGTTGACAGCGAGCCTGTGGTATCCGTCAAGAACGCTGCATCGATGTTCGGCGGCGCTGTCGTACGGTCGCCCCCTCTCGAGGCCAAGTCGAGATTTGAGAGTCCTGCGTCCCCGGTCCAAAGGACTAGTACCCCCACGAGGATCTCTACTAGGCCCCTGCCTATCCCGCCGAAGCCTTCTTCACCTACACCAGTCGCATCTCCTGTACGATCCCCCACAAAGTCAAGCTCGGAGGTCTCTGGTTTGTTGGATGACTTCTTTGGCACGCCGCGACCTCAGAGAGAGTACCGCCTTGACACCACGGAAGTGCTGATGAACAAGCCCCGGGTGCGCGACATCCAAAGCCAGGGCACGAGGTTGTTCCAAATTACTGGGGACGGAAAGAAGATCCCTGTGCAATCACATAATGAGCGTATCTTGTTCGAGCGGGAAATGTACATCTGTGCCCACACATTCTCCAACGAGACTGGCTGGAAGGAGACGGAGGTGTACTTCTGGGCTGGTGACGAGGTGCCGGTGGCAACTGTGGAAGATACCACTCTCTTTGTCAACCGGGAGGCTCGTTCGCTCGGCGGCAAGGTCATCAAGATGCGCCAGGGCAGAGAAACCCCCGAGTTCATCATGGCGCTCGGAGGTATGATCATTACCCGTCGCGGTACCAACACCAAGTACGACTCCTTGGCACCAAGCATGCTGTGCGGCCGCCGGATGCTTGGTCAGGTTGTATTTGATGAGGTTGACTTCTCATCTGCAAGTCTCTGCTCTGGGTTCCCTTTCTTGATTACGCAGTCAGGAAAGTGCTATCTCTGGAAAGGCAAGGGCAGTGACGTAGATGAGCTGAGTTGCGCCCGTCTCATTGGTATGGACTTGAGCTTGATGGGCGAACTCCTGGAAATCGAGGACGGCAGTGAGCCGGATAGCTTCTGGGCCATCTTTAATGACGGCACGAAGCCGCACTCTGCAGACCATTGGCGTTTGAAGTCCAACTACGACAAGTACTGCCAAAGACTCTTCCGCTCGGACGCGTCTGCGGCGAAGCAGGTAAGCTCAACAATGTTCCGAGTCTCTTAATTCATCGCTAACCATGTCAATTTCAGGTCTCCGAAATCAGCCCGTTCACTCAGGCTGACCTGGACCCATCCTCAATCTACGTTCTGGACGCATTCTTCGAAATGTACATCATTGTCGGTCGAACGTCGCAGAGCGAGTACAGCTCCTTCCGCAACGCACTCGACTTTGCGCAAGAGTACGCCATCTTGGCTAGTGGCATGGAAGATCGGCCCTTTATCCCCATCTCGACGGTCGTCTTGGAGGGCATCCCGAAAGACCTCAAGAGCGTGTTCCGCAAGTGGAGAGATGAGTCTAGCCCTACCATTATGCCCCAAAAGGCAGCGTCCGGTCTGAAACGCGGAAGATCTCTGCGCGTCGTCCCTCTCACGCACGCACTCCAGGCTCTTAGTGAGTAAGCCTGCTCGTGAAGTGAACTGAAGCGATGGGCCAGTTGGCGGGAGGCGCGAACGGAGTTTCATAACCAAGGAAAGGGGGGCTGCGGCGGCGGGTTTGATGCGATTTTATACCAGATACCCGGATGCTTGGGGGAAGGTCAGGAGACGGGAGAGAAGTGTACATGGATTATTGTCGCATTTGCAAAGGAGAAGGGAAAGGAAATGGCGAAGGGCGTTTTTCAATTGCGAAAAAGAAAGGGGGTGTTTTGGGTTGGTTGATTGATTGACCATGTACGGCGAGGCGATTCATGCAGCAGCAGCAGCAGCAGCAGCAGCAAGTGACTATGCACCAGGACCACCTTCTTGGTATCGTGGACGAATATCAAATCATTCAAAGCACGTTACAGGTCCCGATTTGATGAGTGCCGAAGGTTGATAGAACTACAAAGTCATGAAGAGAGATGTAGAGACCTGGCGTTGCAGTGCTGATGATGAGGAAGATGATGCTAAACAAGATGTTTAATTCAAGTGAAGAAACAGTATGCGCATGGTTAAAAAATCCATGGAGAACCCAAACTCAACGCCGATGACTATGTACCAAGACTGTTTTTAACTGCTCAAGCAGCTAAACAACCACAAACCGTTCCGCTCAACACCAGCTCGTCTCTCTCTCTCTCTTTCTCTCTCTCTCTCTCTCTCTGTGTGTGTGTGTGTGTGTGTTTGTGTGGCGTAGTTGATGTTCTGACTTTGGGTATATTTGAAGTGTCCTTTTTTACACATTTTTGTTTTTTTGTGCAACTAACGTCTATCGCTTCGTACACAGCAAGCACCTCTACCCCCGCCAACCAACCCACCCCAGGCTCAAATGCCCTTTGTCGCTTCATGACTCATCCTCTGTATCGGTATTCGTCTCGCTCGTGTCGTCCTGGACGTCGTCGTCCGTACCACTCTCCTCATCCGAGTCATCGTCGTCTTTCCTGCGGGGCTTGGTGGCGCCCGGTACGCTGCCGCCCTTAAGGGCTTGCATCTGGCCAGCTATCGAGTCTGGCAAATAATGTTAGTATGTGGGTGTTTTTTTTAGGGGCATCGAAAGGGAAGCATACCTTCATCGGGCTCACTGATATCATCCTCGGCAACCATCGCTGCCGCCTTGTTCGCCTCCTCAACAACAAGAGTAACCTCCATCTTGGTATCGAAACCAACATAGCTGTCGCACACAACGTGCATAACGAATGTGTAGTGACCAGCCTGGGGAGGAGCGGCGAATTGGGCCTTGAGAGTTTGCATGTTGAAGGTGGGCTTGCCATCGTCGCCAAAGATGGGCTGGTCGAACTGGGTGAAGGTGAAGGGGGGAACAGCCATCTTGCCCTGCTTAGAGTCGGTCAAGAAGACATACCACTTGGGGGCGTGATCACGGGCGAAGTAAGGGGCGTGGGCGAGAGGAGGCAGAATCGGCTTGTCGTCAACGGGGACAGGCTTGCCGTCGGGGCCCTTGACAGTCTTCTTCTTGCGGCCAAGGTAGGCCTCGAGGTCATCTTCGGCGGGGTCAATGTCTTCCAGATCCAGCTCGTTGACCTCGGGGAGGTTTTCGCTACCAGGGGGGATAATGCGGCCCTTGACGACGAGGGTAACCAGGGAGGAGGGGATGATGAAGCGCTCGCCGGTAACCTTGAAGAAGGCCTTGGCAACGCGGAGCTGGGGTAGTTGTTGAGCGACACTGACGGCAGACTTGTACTGAGCCTCGGTGAGGAGGTTGTTGCGGACCACCAAGTTTCTGCGAAGCTCGTCGGGCAAATCCATGAATTGCTGAAGGGAAATGTGAACCTTGGAGTCGCCTCCCTCGACCTGGCGAACGATGTCCTGGGTGAAGTGGGGGAGCTGGAGAAGAGGAGAGGCCTTGGGCGGGAGAGCCTGGATGAGGTGCTGGCTGGTAGAGTAAGCGGCCAGAATTGGGCCAGTGTTACCGTACGCTTGGGCGATGGCAGAGAAGGATCGGGTAAGGGCGTGGGCGATGGGAGCAACTTCGTACTTTGCGCTGTCAAGGGCGGCGTCACCGAGTTCGACGCGACCAAGGTAAGACCTCAGGAGAGCCAGAGCCTTGCGACGCACACCACTGTCGAGGTCCTCGAGGGCTTGCTTGTCCTTTTGGGAGAGACCGGCCTGTTCGGCGTTGGCCTGGAGCTTGGACTCGAGCTTGGAGAGGCCAGACTCGGCCTTGTCACCCTTGAGAACAGTATCGAATTCCTTTCCACTGCTGAGGGCAGTGACAACGCCGCCCTCGTCAACGTTCTCATCGTAAGCGCGGAAGAGGTTGTTGGCGCTCTCAAGGAGCACGCCATCCTTGGACATGCGTTGCGTGCCGTACCACCAAGAGCCGACCAGGTAAGGAAGGAGGACACCGAGAAGGAGCGTGTAGGCGAGGACAACGAACTTGCCGTTGCCGTCAGAGATTATGAACTGGGGAAGCGCAATGCCGATGCTGAAGCTCTGCTTTCCGTCGGGGTGGCCGTACTGAATGTAGTTGTTGCGGATCTCCTCATCGGTGAGCGCCTGGTAAGCCTTTGAGATTTCGACGTAGGCGTTGCTCAGGGACTCGATGGTCTCGTTCTTGGCCGGGTCGGGCTTGACCTTGTCGGGGTGCAGTCTCTTTGAGAGCTGCTTGTACACCTTCTTGATTGTCTTCTCGTCGGCGGACTATGACGCAGCAGCGTGTCAGCACTTGTTTGGGGGGTGCATGTGGTTCAACGTACGTCAGAGATGCCGAGGATATCATATGGGTTCCAGATCTTTTGTGTGACGCTCTGTGTGTGAATGATGAGGTAGATCATGCCGGTCATAACGGCGAGGCCGAAGAGGACGGCAATGACGCGCACGATGCGGCGCTGCTTCTTCTCGTGAGCCTTGCGCTGCTTGTCGATGAGGTCGACATGTTCGGGCTTGAAGTCGCTCTGGATGCGCGGGGCCTTGGCTTCGATCTCCTTGGAGGGAAAGACGAGGGTATAGCCGAGCGGCAAGGTGATGATGCTGCTGATGGCGAGGATGAAGAAGGGGTAGAATTGCGCCTCGGCGTCGTACGAGTAGTCGGAACTCATCTTGACGGGGGTGTGGCGACGAGCTCTGGAGCTCTAGAGTGTCGGTGTCGGGTCGTTGTGTATGTGTGTGTGTGTGTGTGTGTTGGAAAGGTGGTTAGTCGTACCGTCGAGATCGAAGTCCGAGTGGGAGTCTTGCGCGCGGATCCGGACACGTCGCTAGACAGCTATGTAACCCAGTAAAAAAAAAGGTCTTAAAGAGTGGGAGTATGTGTCGCGCGCGGCAGGTTGCACTTGAAGAAGCGCAGACGAGACCAAGAAGAGTTACCTGTGAAAGGGGAAGAAAAAAAAAGAACAAGCCAGAGACCGTGAAGGAATGGTGTCTGCCTCTCCGTTCGCTGGTTGTTTCTTCCAGGTCGAGGTCGGGGACTTGGTTTTGGGGTATGAAGTGACCGCAATCTGCTGGCTTCGGCCAAGTCACTTTCTTTTGACAATCGTGGCCTCGAAATAAACTGGTGCTTGTGCCTGCGCTGGTGGCTGCTTCTGCGGTGGTAGTTTCCGGAAGAGCGAGCAGGGGTCGGCCGGTTCCTTGAGGTAGTGAGCAAGGTACGTAGGTACCTTACACCTACGTAGTAGAGCCCTGTAGTAATGGAGGTAGAGCACACTGGGAGAGGTCACTGTGTCCTGTCCTCGCGCTGTATGAACGGCAGGGCAAGGCCCATTTGGATCCAATCACCTAAATGTCGGGCCGTCAGTGCGCGCCCTGGAAGTGCTCCACAGCTGGCTCCCACCTTACAAACCTTGTTCGCCTTCCATTTGTCGCCTCTCAGTGCTCACTCCAGGTCGTCACTCGTGCGACTGCTTAGTGCTTCCAGGTTCCTTCTGATTCTGACACGGGCACACGGCAAATGGAATATCTGTCCTTCCCCAAATGGGACCCGTCGGTTTGAGCCTTCTTTTCCCCTCCGTGCCCCCTCAGTGTCTTTTTTAGCTTTTGAAGGTCTCCACTCATTCTTTCCCCAAGGCACCGTACCTTACCCGTGCCATGCTTACCTAATTCCCGTGCAACCGTCTCTCGGCAACACTAGTCCGAATCAGCGACGGTAAACCGGCCGGCCTGCAGACGGGTTCCCTAAGTGCCCAGTGAGTTCATGATTTTGCCTCCTTGATGGCAATGTCTATTTGTGAGGTATAAGCCAAATTAATTTGACTGCCTTACCTGTATTCTAAACTATCCCAATCGTCGATTGGACTGTATAAAGAGAGAGAGAGAGAGAGAGAGAGAGTTCTAGTACACAGCCGGTGCTATAAGTGTCACATATAACCCTGCTCTCACGGGTTGGGTACTAGCAAGAGACGAGGTGAATCGCTCTTCAAAAGGATGTATTTCCATCTGGATGTACCAAAACGCCCTAGCTATGCTACACTTCTAACCACCTCCGAGGTCTTTCGATAGAAGAAAAGGAACCTCTTTTTCAACTAATGTGGAATCCACCGTATTCTCACAACGACCCGTACACCCTATTCAAGGAGTCAACCGGAACAGCCTAATTCATCTTTCCCTCCCCCCTGTACTCCTCGCCCTCCCCATCTTCATCCTCATCTTCATCCTCATACTCACCCTCCCCATCCTCATACTCGTCCTCCTCATATTCCCCCTCGTCATCAACAACAGCCTCCTCATTCTCCTCATTCTCCAACAACGTCTCCCCCTCCGCATCCGTAGTCTCATCCTCGATATCCGTATTCCCAGAAATAAGCAAACTCCTAAGATCATCCTCACTGAGAATCGTCTCAATACTACCCCTCCGGATCCAAGGCCTCGTCTCCCGCCTCCCCTGCTCAATCAACCTCTCAATTTTGAGCCTATTCCCAACAAATTTCAAAATAGGGTACCCGCGCTGCTGGCCCTCGTGAATCATGCGCGCCAACCGCGGCGGGTCCGGGTCCGAGAGGATATGCACAAAGTCCGAAGGCACAGTCTTGGGCCACACGGTTATGGTACCGCTAAACGTCTGCAAGAAAAGCTGCGACCAGTCCTGGCCCAACGGACGGGGGAGTAACTCGGCGTGACGGATGAACTTGAGCCATTTCGTCATGTCCAGCTTGAGGTAGTGCTCCACCGCCGACATGACGTACCCGCCGCGCCAGCCTTTGCCCTTGCGGTGCGTGACGGGGTGTCCAACGGAGCCGCGCGAGGAGAAGAAGAAGAGGTTGATGTGCGGGTTGACCTGGCTGACGACGGTGAAGTTTACGTTGAAGTGCAGATTCAAGGCCTTGATGGGGATATCGGTCCGCAGGCTGCCGTCCTTCCACTTGTGTCCAAATGAATAAGGGACCAGCGTCCCGTCGCGCTGCTTCATCATCAGCACGACGGGGTTGAGGATACCCGGCACGGCGGCGGACGCCAGCACGGCGGACCAGATGACGCAGTCCGGGCTGGTGAGGTAGTTGCAGAGGATGGTGGGTGAGTGCGGGTCAGCAGGGACGCACGAGACGTTGAGGATGCGGCCCGTCCGCTCGTACGCCTCTCGGAAGGTCATGGAACCCCGGGTCCACCAGCTGCACTGCTTCGCCCAGTCGACCGAGTCGAAGCGGGCGCCCGTCTTCCACCACCGCGGGATCCACGTCCAGAAGGTCTCGCGGCACGCCGTGATGCGGTGCGCGAGCGCCGGCACGAGGAGCTGCCTCAGCTCGTCGTCCGTCCGTGTGGCCACGAGAGCCGCGACCAGAGCCCCACCGCTGGTGCCGGTGATTACGTCCGGAAGCAAGTCCGCCTCGAGGAGGGCCTTGATGACACCAAAGTGGTAGTAGGCAAAGGATGCGCCTCCCGAGAGGCAGAGGGCCGTCCGTCCGTAGTTTGCGTGCATGCCCTTGAAGATGGAACGCTTCTCCTCCATCGACAGTTGCTTCGTGCTCAGGATAAACTTGATGCTCCTCTCGACTGTACGCAGTTAGCCAATCCGCCAAACACTGTTGAACACAGCTGCGAATACGTACCTTCGTCAATAAAGTTCTGCACCAGGTTTTTGGTGCCATAGTACGTCTGGCTGTACAACCTGGGATTCTCAACACCAACAAAGTTGCTCTTCACGCACGCCGAGAGCAATGCATGAAGCTCCTCAACAGCAGGCTTCCCCGTCGACCCCTTGGCGTCCGGCTGCGCCCCCTCGTCGTCCGTCTCCCCGTTCTCCGCCGCCTCGGCCCTCTGCCTGCACTTGCGCATCTGGTCCCACACCCTCTTGACCGTCTTGGAGTCGTAGTAGGCGAAATCGTTCTCCTCCTTCCACCGCTGCCGGTCGAGGTAGCTATCCAGCTCCTTAGCCGCGACGACCCAGTCGCGGTAGTTGTTTGTCCGGCGCATGCTCCGCCGCAGCCTCTCCCGGGTGCCGCGCCAGGTGACAAAGTGCTCGTATACCCAGATGTACAGCCGCGTGTACAGGTACGTGAGCGCCAGACCCGCGAGCCAGGCGCCGACGAAGAAGAGCATCGGCCACTTGAGGAGTGCGTAAAAGATGCCCTCCCGCGTCTCGTCTTTTGTCCTGGTGCCCAGGAGCGCCTCGGCCGCCCCCTTGGCCCGGTTCCTCCTCCGGCGAGACCCCCTCTTTGATATCTTTTGGTTGACGGGCGCCCAGTCGTTCTGCGCCGTGATGAACATGTTGGACTGCGTCGCCGAGCCGTTGTTGTAAGCGCCGCCGCCGCCGTTGGTATGAGTGTGATTCAGCATCCCCGGACCCGGGGCCGTGACGTCGCCGGCAGCAGCAGCCGCCGCGGCTGCGACAGCCGACGGATCCTCCCTGTCATCCTCGTAGACGGACCCTCGCTTCGTGACGTCTAGCGAGCTATTACTCCTCAGGCCGGGGGGCCGGAGAGACGTGGTTTCGTCGGGAGACTGCAACGGGTCGGGGGCCTGGAGGGCCTGTATGAAGGCGGCGAGGTCGGCATCGCTGAGGAACTTTGTGTCGAACTCGGGCAAGCCGTCGGTGCTGAAGTTCTCGGGCGGGAAGCCGTAAATGTCTGTGTTGCTGCCGCCGCCGCCGCTCGGTGATGAGCCAAACGAAACTCTAGGTTGGTGCTCAGCCATGTCTGCGGGCTGCGTCGTCTGACGGGTCTAGGCGCATGATATGGCAGCACACCAGGAGAGAAAGAAAGAGGTTGCGGGACAGTCAAAGATGTGAAGCTACTCAGGGGAAGTATGTGAGAGAGAGAGAGAGAGAGAGAGAGAGGCACGATGATGGGTGCTGACGCGCTCAAGGTAGAGAGAGTAAGGGATGAGTCTGGTCTCCGAAATGAAGAGGAAGTACCCGTGGTGGCAGGTGTGTAAGGCCAGGTAAGGCGAGGTACCTCAAGGTCAGGTAGTATGTGAATGCGGGCGTATTGCGTGTAGCGTGGTGGGTGAACAGTTGCGTGAGGATGTAAGCGTCGGAATAGAGCGTGGCTACTACCTTAATCTGCAGATACACGGTTGATTTCGATGCATTTGTTGGGGAGGGAATTTAGAGATGCCTCGGGGTGGTGTATCTGGCGCTTCTCGGCCGGGGAGGAGACGACCAACACGGGCATTTAGCTCCCAGGTTCCTCGAAGATGCGCAGACCTCCCTAGGGAATGCGCGCCCGTGATGCCACGGGTCGGATGACGTCGGCAGTAGCTCGAATTGGATTTCGTTGGGACCTCGGAGCACTGGGGACTCAGTCACTCAGGGAGATGGTGAATGGCCGCCCGCCTGTTGGCCGCCCACTACAGTACCAACCCACGCCCGGCTAATGAACCGTCAAGTGGCAGGGGGCAGCTTCCACCGTTTCCACCCCTCCCGGTCACTTTTCTTCACTTTTCTTCACTTTCTTCAGTGGATGTTGTACCTGATTTAAGGCACGTTAGCGGGATGCGGTGCGAGGAAGGCCACCTTAGTTTCCACCAGCGCAGGTTGACTAACACCAAACCTCCCGCCGTCTGTGAGTAGATAGTACAGCCATGATATAAACAATAAGTATCCGTATAAGCATCGAGCTATGTCAAGAGGAGATGTCAAAAGATTCAGGTCATAAACCACTCGGCACCTTGAAACAAAATTCCCAAAGGCCGCTCGCCAATGCCCCTCCATCTCCCTCCTCATGTTCCCATCCGGCCCCTGTCTCAACCGTCCCGTCTCTCCGGAGTCCCCTCGAAAGGAATGTCACCTCACTACGCCGGTGGTCCCCTCGACCAAAAGTCCAACGTATCCCTGAATGGCTGGCTAGCAAGGCTGAGCAGGAGGCGGAAGTGGCTTGTGGGATAGGTACCTGGCATATTGTGGCATGTGGTGACTTACTCAAAGTACTCCGTACGCCTAGCCTCAAAGACAGTAATCATCTAGACGTCAACGTAATCCCAAATGGATAGAGACCAGAAAAACCTTGGAAACACAGTCGGCCGGTTGCTGATCTCAGAGATACCACTGTGACTTGTAGAATGCTAAAGAGCATCGCCACAGTTTCTTCTGACGTATGTCCCTCATCACGTATCCCGCCGTTGCCCGCCACTAACCAAAACTTTCAACGACGTGGACACGGTGGCCTCGGTCATCGTCACCGTCACCATCGACAACTTATTTCTTGCGAGTCTCGGCGCAAACCAATGATGCCCTCACAGTGCCATACTGTTCACGTTTCTTTTATGTCAATGTTATTGTTGATGCAGCAGTAGCTACGCAGAGCAGGCTAACGATTGAAAGACGCAAATAAACCAGATTCCGAATCCCTGAGCCCAATGAGTATTCTAGCCTAACAAGCGTACAAACTGCCTCGTCTCTGGCTCAAAGCTGGATGCTCGACCGACAGTACTGGATCGAGCAGAGCTATTTGAGAAGCCAAACCGAGGAACACTTCCTCCTCCGTGTGGACCGATGCAAACATGCCCAATAGCAGCAGGTCAGCCCATTACGCAGCTCTTCTAATCCGTTGTTCCCCAAGGATATCAGGTTCGCAAATGCCAAGAGGAGGGCTCTGTTCTGTTTAAAATCCCCCCCCCTCGAGCACTTGACCGGAGCTTTCGTAGACGTGGCACCATGAATTTCGTTCCCGCGTAGACGTTCCCTATTGTCATTCTTGCCAAATCGTCCGGGTACTACTCCGTTTCCGCCGTAAACACCTCCCGCTAGCTCCTATCAGAGCTGTCGGTCCATGCTTAGACGTACTGCGAGAGCCACCGGATACCGTCTCCGTATCCTGTTTCTTGCGTTAGCCAAACTGTTCTGTGCCTTGTCTTGCCTAATCCGGGGGAAAGCAACGCACCTTGTCTGAGGACAACGGAGCACATGAAGACCTCGATAGGTCGGATTCCCTCCAAAGGCACCTTGCCCTTGCCGGTAGTCTGGTACATGCCGAGCTGGTGACGGAGCTCCTCCTCCGAGATGGCGTCGGGGTGATCAATCTTGTTGCCGAGGATGACAAAGGGCACCTTGGCCAGCTCCTCCATGGACAGGAGGGCGTCGAGCTCGGCCTTGGCCTCGGGGAATCGCTCGTGGTCCTTGGCGTCGACGAGGAAGACGATGCCGTTGACTTCGGGGAAGTAGTCCTTCCACAGGCGGCGGGCCTGCTGGTGACCACCGAGATCGAAGGTGGTGAAGCGCACGTTGCCGATGGCGAGCTCCTCGGAAGCTGGGGGGGGGGCGAGGCGGTTAGCTTTCTGGACACGTGCGCAGAGCTCATGTCACTGGGCTCTCTGCTGCGGGAAGGGCATATAACTCACTGGGGTGAAGAGTAGGCTGAAGGATGGCGACACGATCGTTCTGATCACCTGGTTAGCAGCTGTTTATTCCATCCATATCATAGCCCAAGAGTATCCCATATCGGCGCATCCGACCTCCGGTAGGCTCGTGGTATCGATATGGTGCAACCGGCGGGTGTCGGGGGGACCGTACCTTCAGCATGTGCAGCAGGGTGGTCTTTCCGGCATTGTCGAGGCCCAGGAAGAGAAGCTTGGCATGCTTGTTGAGCAAGCCGAGGCTTGAGAGGACGTTGTAGACTATAGAGAGGGACAGAATACCAGTCAGTTCGTCATCATTTAACCAGGGATAGATGGTAGGCCACAAGCTACGGCGAAGGCGGCGCGCGCAGCAGATCAACCGAGGTGGTGGAGAGGGATCAGGCAAAGGATGAAGATGAGGGAGAAGCATAATACATACACCAATCAACAATCCACATCTTGACGACGAAGGGGCGAGATTATTGTCTGTATTGTGAGGGTGGTTCGTGGATGACGGTGGAGTTTGTAGGTTGAAGTCGGGGAGGCTTCGTTGTTCGGGCTTTTGCTCCCAGGAGACAAGGCGGCGGCGTGTACGAACAGCGAGGTACCCAAGGTCTGGACTGAACGGGACGGGACTGGCTGAGCTGGGGGCCACCTTTAGGCTTGGTGGTCAGTGAGGTGGGGGCTACCAGGAGAAGCTGGTAGGGGAGTCGGGGACGGAGAGTGAGGTGAGGTGGTGCGTGCTGGCTGTGCTCGCTGGCGCATTTGCTGTTGCGAATTGCAGTGTGTTGAGGTGCGCGTGCCTTATATCTGGGGCTGCCACGTATCGGAGATGCTCCACAGCTGCACCGAGTGCTGTCTACTGCGGTCTGGGAACTTGGCTAGAACAACGGGAGACGCAAAATGCAAAAAGTCTGGGAGTGCATCAAGGCGAAACGAAACTCATTGTCATCTCCTTTAGGAAAGGCTTCACCAATATGAAAGCCCGATGGCTATGTCAGTTGAATGAGGCCGAATGAGTTTTGTTACTGACAGCTTCTTAATCCCAGGTTACTACCTTACTTGCATGAATGAGTCTGATGGCCTTTTTGTATGAATACCCAGGTAGTCTGACAACATGAGAAAATAACATCTCTCATGGTCATTCAATCTTGGAACCAAGTCACTCAAATGTTGCCATCAACACCAATCAAGGCTGCTGTTCTACTCTACACCTTAGATCCTCGGTTATGAACAAATGGGCACGTGGCAAAGGAACAGACAGAGAGTATTGGAGGTCTGCGATATCTCGCAGGAATGCAGTTATTGATCAGGCTACCTAATGCTATGTATTTGCTCGACAACCATACAAGCCTTCATACACGCTATTCCAGGGGGTATTCGTGCTCCAAGTCCAGATGCCGCTGGACTCCCAAAATGATGAAAAGAAAATGAAGCGAAAGTCCATGTAGGCGCGGAGCACCTCGTCCATCGAGGACGCCCCGATGTGAAAGAGAGAAAAAAGTAATATATACAGTCCCAAAAAGACGTCGAAAATAGTCTCATATATGTCATGAAGCCCACCATGCCATGCACCATCCGATGCTAAACGCCTTGCGAAACCATTCTTAGTCTCGCTGTAAATGCAAAGCAAAAACTCCGCCCAATGTAGTTGTAGGCACGCCTCTAAACAGATAGGACATAGTTGCCCTGGTCGATCTTGCCGGCCATGAGCAAACCCAATTCCCTCATGCGTTCACAGCCGAGGCCGGCGCGGTGAGGCTTGCGCTCGGGGACTTGTCCCTTGCGAGCGCGGTTGCAGTATTTTTGGTAAAACTTTTCCTTGCGACGCTGTCGCTTGCGCTCTAGACCCTTGACAATGTCAATGGCGCCACGAATATGCAGGTCGTTGGCAGGTGCCTTGGAGCGACGTCCCTTGGCCATGTGGGGGAACATGGAGGGAGGACGAGGAAGAGACTTGGTAACGGTGAGACCAGGGCGAGATGCCAAAGTCTTGAAAGTAATGGCGCCGTGGCCGTTGCGAGGTGAAGCGGGGGGAGATTTCAGCATCTGGGGAGCTGGGGATCTCAGACGACGGGGAGAAGGACCGTCAAAGAGGCGGCGAGGGGAGCGACCACGAGTCTTGAGGGCAGGGGAAGCGCGGCGCTTGATGGGCGGAGGAGAGTGAAAGCGCTTGGGAGGAGTGTGCTCAGCCTTCTTCTGGCGACGGCTTCGGTCGTTCTTGTGGTGCAGATCCTCCATCTTTCCGTGAAAGAACATCTCGTCATCGCTGCTGTGGTGGACAGGGTTGTAGATTTCTTCCTCACCCTCGTCCTCGGGGTCCGAAGCAGGGAAGCTGGGGTCAATGTCCTGAGGAATCA